CAAGAAGGTGCCATGAGAGATGAGACGGCGCGAGATGCGAATAATCCGAGGACCCCGAATGACCGGCACCACCAAGATGATTAGAAGGAGGAGGTAAAGAGATGAACAAGAGACGCAGTTTGATGGCCCAAGTGAACGAGATCAAGGAGCTATCAAAGGCCGGAGCAGGGAGGTTAGGGACGACCAACGAGAACCTCACCCTCGCCGAATCGACGACCAATTCCTCCATCTCTGAGTACACCTTGCGACTCGATCTTCCTCCCGTTGCTCCATTCCCCCCACCCTCATCACCACGATCATTCTGATGATGATCGTGTGGGGTAGAAGGAGAGGAAGGATGGGGTTTGAGGGTTTCGATGGACTCTAGACTGACGCCATAGCGCACCACTCGCCCCCCCTCTCGCTCATTCATACTCCCATTCATCGAGATCGAGCCTTCGATCGTTTCTCCTAATCTGTAGACCGCCTTGACCACCGTCAGTTGAGCCACCAATCGACCATCTTTAATGATATCAAACGACACTTTTATTGTAAAAAAAAAACACAATTTGATCGTCAAGACCAAAAAAAGAGAAAGCAAGAAAGAAATAAAGAGGGTCAAGAGGGGACGGACCCTTGGGCGCGGATCTACTAACGATCGCCACTGCAGTCAAACAACCGTCCTCCAACGCATCGATGGCCTGCTCATCTCTGGTAACCAGAGAGGGTGAGAGCTGGTTCAAGTGACCCTTTCCGACGGTTTTCAAGAGCTCCAAGCCGTAACTTTCGAGACCGGCCAAGCCACTCAGATTCCCATCTCCCGGAGGCACCGAAGGATGGTTATTAGCTGCCGGTTTCTTGGGCTTTGGTGAGACTAATAACGATGGTTGGTCTTGGTTGGTTAGGATCCGGCGGGTCGTGGCTATGTCTCGTGTTGAAATGATCGGCTTGAATAAGTCGTAAACCGGTCTTGTTTGGTTCACTTAATATATGTATCATATCCCAAATCCGCCCACAAAAAAAGAAATTTAGAATCAAAAACTGAGACAGGGAGATAATGTTTTTTAGAAGAGAGGGATATACCAACGGGAGACGTGATTGAAGACTTTGATCGGCACCCTAAACGTGCGATTCTTATGGTCCTTATGACGAGGATAGAAGGGCGAAGAAGGAGTAGAGAACCTCGTCTTGAACGGATCGGCAGAGAGCGTAGGTGTCGAGCTGCGTCCGGCGCGATATCCGCTGTTGCCGAAGCCCCCCATCGTTGTTGTTGTTGTTGTTGAGTCGGGGGGACTTAGCAGATTGGTACCGACGATTAACTCGTAATTGAATTTGATTAATTTACCTCGATGGGTCGGTGGCAAATCGATCGGAAGATCGATCGAAAATGAATCTGTCAATTTTTTTTGCAAGTTATGCCATAAAAGGGGGGTATACATATAT